ATTTACTGTATGTGGTCAAAAATACAGTAAAAACAGTGAAATATACTTAGCATTTAAAAGAACTGTTTTATATTTTAAAATATAATTTATTTCTGTGATGCAAAGCTGAATTTTCAGCATCATTACTCTTCAGTGTCATATGATCCTTAGGAATCATTCTAATGTGCTGATTTGGTGCTCAAGAAACATTTCTTATTATCAATGTTGAAAACAGTTGTGCTGCTTAATATTTTTGTGCAAACATGACAAAATACCATTCAATATTTGGGGGTAAAAAAAGGTTGCACATACGTGCATTTACCTGTACTTACAGTGTACATACATAAGAAAGTACTGGAAAATAATTACATGGGTTAGGGTTAGGGTTAGGGTTAGGAGTAGGTTCAGGGTTAGTACCTAATTATTACCCAGTTATTGTAATTACTATAACAAGTACATAGCATGTACATGCGGAACAGGACTGTAAAATAAAGTGAAGTAAAGTAAACAAATAGATATTATTCAGGAAGGACACATTTATGTCTAATTTTGTCATCTAAAAGTAAACACTGATCATCTCCAGTTTACTATGCAATCATTTAGATTAACCAAGATTTTGTTTGTTTTATGTGTTTCTAGGAAGTTGGAAGTATCATTGGGAAGGTAAACAATTCAGTATTATCCTGATATTTGCATTATTGAATTAAGCATAACATTGAGTCTTCTTGTCTGTGTTTAAAAATGACTTACAATCTAATTATGATACACATTCTGATATAATTATCATTTTCCTCTTGTTTTGTTTTAGAAAGGAGAGACTGTCAAAAAAATGAGAGAGGAAGTAAGTGCAACATTGATCTTCATGATCAAATAGGACTAATCATTTTTAATTTCTTTATGAATATCAAAAGCTTATTTTATATTTCACATAGTAAGGTTTTTAACTTTTTTTTATTAACTATGGACTGTTGCCTTGATATTATATGCAGTGCATATTATTAATTCTGACAAGCTGTGTAAAGATTAAAAGGAGCTCATTTGGGTGGCCACATGTACAGTATATAAAAAATTAGACAGCAGAAAACAGCCTGGAATCATTTCAGTTAGAGCAAAATCATCTTATTATCTGCATGATCAGTTCAATGGTATTT